CCGAACACTTGTGCGGAAACGAAAAACCTAGCTCGCCGAAATGTTTAAGCTGTAAATGCGTATAGGGAAATGAATAGGACAAATTGTGGCTCCATTTTTTTTATAGGATAAGCATATCGGATATGCATGTTCGGTCAAATTTAAATAATATTTTAATTGGACACGGCAAAGCCGTATCCGACTCGTATTAGTGCGGTATCGCAGGCGTATCCGTATCCGACACGTGTTCCGATACAACATGCCTTGTAAATAGGAGTATTCGTGCAATATATATATATATATATATATATAGTGAATTAACTACTTGATTAGAGAAAATAAGAGCAATTATTAATTAAAATTTTAACGTGGAGGTCTTTATATAGGTGTTAAGTTGTTGTCAACAAAGTGATAATTAAGGTGGATTATCAAGGCATCTGATTACAAGGTGAGTATTCATGCTTCTATTTTATAATAATGATGTTGTTTTCTTTAATTTAAGTTCATTGAATTAATTGATATTCAATAGTTAATGATTATTGTAAAATTCTAGCATTTCTTTTTGAATAGCCATATTGAATTGTTTGATAGTTAGCATGATTATTCAATATATAAATTACAGAAGTTATTGAATGATAATGAATAAAATGATTATATAGAAATGCTTGTATATGCAAGTTGACTGATGGATGACACCCCCTTATGGTACTAGCTAGGGACAAAATATACCCATGCACATAAATGAAAATGATTTTGAAAAAGAAAATGAAATGAAAAAGAAAATGAAATGAAAAAGGAGTTTCTTCATTGATACTATTTTAGACGGTGTACCCTATAATGGTTCTATTATTAAGAAAAATATAAAGATATGATATATGTGAAAGATATGATATATGCATAATATAAATGATTATGCTTAGATATGAATCTTAAATTGAATTAATTTTTTTATATTTTATTTTTATATATTTTTTAAAATAGAATTAAATTATGTTTTTGAAAAGATCCTGCATATTATTCCTAAAACCTTGTGTTATCGTAATTTAAAAATAGAATTTACTCATTTTTGTTTCCAATAACATTCGCAGTATTAATTGATTAACTTAAGATGAGTAGAAGAGGAGATAAAATGATCATAGGCACGACGCTCCGTGAGAAAAATATTTAATTCATTTTATTTTAAATATTTTTAGGTTTTAGTGGCTTTTTCAGTTTATTGCTCTTTTAGTTTATTAAAGATGATTTTATCAAATGAAATTTAAACAACCATCCAATTGTTTGTTCCCATCTCATTAATTTGAGCCTTTGAGCTTGGTCATAATAAAAGTGGAATCAAAGCTCCAAGAAGTATCTTAGTAATATGAAATGTAATGAAGCAGCAATATGAATAATTTATGAAATTATTCATGAAGAATTTAGAGATTCGATTATATAGTATAATTAATTAACTTATATAAATATATCAGGCATGCAAATGATCAAGAGGAAACAACTAATTGAAATATGGAAGGAGAAGAACTACCACATGAAGTGGTTGTGAACACCAATACCTTTATCCAGATGATGGCAGCTATGACCCAACTGCTTCAAGATTCAATATCACTGCCTAGAGTTGGAGTGGACAAAGATCTTATGTTATTTTAGGACATGCGACCACCTCTATTTAAAGGTAATGAGCGATTAATTGAGACAAAAAATTGGTTGCTTCGTATAGAAAAGATTCTGGATAGTTTGTCATATCCTAATGAAAGGAAAGTGCCACTCACTATATTTGCTTTGGATGGAGAGGCATAATGGTGGTGGAGAGGACAACGCAAAGACAGGCTAAGAGATATTCAAAATTTACTGGTCAACTAGGAAGACTTTGTAGAACCTTTCAGAGAATGATTTTTTTCTATGTTTGCAAGGAGATAGATATAGGATAAATTTATAAGACTGGTTCAAGGAGACAAATTAGTGATGTAATATAAAGTATAATTTATAACTCTATTCAGATATTCACAACTGATTGCAACAGCAGAGGAGAAATGTTATTGATTCCTATCTGGTCTAAAAGATATAATTAGACAACCTTTAGTACCTTTAGGAATTGAGGATTGTTTAGTATTGGTAGAAAGAGCTAGAAGGGTGGATATTGATTTTCAAATCACTCAGAAGAGAAGGGACCATCATAAAAAGAATTGTTGAAGAAGATATCAAAAACCATCAGATTGAATGATCAAATGGAAAGAAGCCTCATTTTAGCCTTTAGTGGTGTTAGTAGTGCAATTGCTAGTAGAGTCATGAAAGCTTGTGCTAAGTGTGGAAGATTTCATAATTGTAAATGTTTGATGGATTTCAACACTTAGTACTAGTGTCGTCACTTGTCAGCCTGGACACATAGCAAAATATTGCTCTATATTGATTCAGATGACTTCAAGACATATGAGATCAGGTGAATCATCTTCGCAGAAGAGCTTTGGCAAGCAGAAGATGATAGAATCAATAATTTCAGCTTCAACACAAAACAAACCAAGGCAAAATGTTCGACCGCTAGTTTATGCTTTGACTAAGAAGGATCCCACTTAATCTAGAGATGTTGATAAAGATGACTGAGATTTCTTTAAGATAGTTTTCTTGTTATATTATATCCGATATTTTGGTTTATCCAATTATCTTGTTATGTTATATCAAATATTTTGTTTATCTAGTTATGTATACAAAGTTGAAGTTTATATTGAATAAAATTGAAGATGTTATTTTGCTTAAATATTGAGTAGTTATATTCAATTTCACTTATAATAATATACTATAACTAGAATTTATAAATAAATTTCGAGGATGAAATTTTATAAGAAAGGGAGATTGTAAGAACCAGGCTTGGTCGATTCAATTGAACCGGCCCTAATCAAATAGCAGGCGAGTTGAGCAGAAAAAATACGGGCGCAGGATCATTTGGCTGGATCGAACTGTGCGATTGGAAAATAGCTACTCCTTATGTGAAATATCCCTGATTTGCTCACTCCTTTTGAACCGTACGAATATAAGAGGCTTTGAATGAGTGGAGATCGACTAAGTGGAAGGAGCGTCGATGTCATTTGGTCTTTTGGTCACGGTCGGCTTTGTCGACTGAAGACGAAGAAAAAGGAGTCGAAGAAACTGAAGAAGGGCTATTCTCTATAAATTAGAGAAGAGAGGGAGGAGTAGATCGAGGGAGAAGGAAGAGTCTAGCGAGCAAGGAATCGAGCGGCAGTCATGGCTTGTAAAGGTAAGATTAAGATTAAAATTTATAAATAAAGATTTGTTTTGTAGATAATAAAACAACAACATCATCAAGCCTTTGTCCCACTACATGGGGTCAAATACATGAATCCTTTTTCTCTATTGTGTCCTATTAAAAATCAAATTCTCGTTTAAATCTAATAAAAAAAGTTCATCTCTAATATTTTATAACCAAGTCTTTTTTGGTCCACCTTTACCTTTCTTAACATAAGTCAAATCTAATACCTCTACTTTTCTAACTGGGACATCAGAAGGTCACCGTTTTATGTGTCCAAACCATCTAATGCGACTCTCTCTAATCTTATCAAGTGAAAACATTTAGACTCTAAGGTTGACCTTCATAAATCATGTTTACCTTCAACTCCCTCTCTAGTCTTATCAACAAGAAGAATATCAACAATAAAAAGCATACACCAAGGTACATTTTCTTGCAAATGTCTAGTAAGAACATCCATGACTAAAGCAAAATGATGTGGGCATAAGGCATAAGCAAAAAGATATTTATTTTGTAGATAAAATAAATAAATATAATTTAATTGAAATATTAGTAAATTATATTATAAATTTTTAAAGAATAAATAATAAAAGTGAAAAAGAAAGAATGTTTAAAATATAGAATAAAGAATTAATCTATTACATAATTATTAGTATTATTAATTATTTAAAATTTATGGATTTTTATAGAATAAATTAATAAATACAATTACGGAAGTTTAATTTAAAATTTATATTTTTAAATAACTTAGAAAATTTTAACGTTAAAATAAAAATTAATGAATATATATAGAGAGCATATTAAAATTTATATATGAGATTAAATTTATGTTATAATAATAAATTAAATTTAGAAAACAACTAATTTATGAACTGAGGATAAATTGTATAGAAAAAGTAAAACCATAATTAAATAGTTAGTTAATAACAGTTATTAAATATATAAACTTTACTCTCTCTCTCTTTATATATATATATATATATGTATATATATATGTATATATACATATATATATACATATATATATATATATATAAAGAGAGAGAGAGAGCTAATTAGTGAATTAACTAATTGATTAGAGAGAGAGAGAGAGAGTAAGAACAATTATCAAGCAAAATTTTATTGAAAAGGTCTTTTTATAGGTGTTAAGTTGGTGTTAATGAAGTGATAATTAAGGTGGATTTTCAAGGCATTTGATTACGAGATGTGTACTCGTACTTCTATTTTATAGTAATGATATTGTTTTCTTTGATTTAAGTTCATTGATTTTAATTTATGTTATTTTTAAGTTAAGAGCATAGGATATTTTTTTCAACTCATAACATCAGCAATTACTGTTCATTGTTTGACATGATCACATGAAAATTTTTTTTCTGGTACTTCATCATTATTTTAGTTATATATATATTGCATCTGATATGTATTGTTTTGGCTAGCCATCTGTGCTGTAATCAAACCTGGCATTAGTGCTATTAAATTTGTACTGCTTGCCTACAATTTGTGAAATGAGCTTTCTGAATTGTTTATTTTGTGTTGGTTATACTGACTAGAAATAGCTGCTTTTTGTTTGAATTTATAATTGCTTAAGTAATATTGAAGCTGATATATATACTTGTTGTTCAACTCTCTGCATAAAGATAAAGGCTAAACATTTGTGCATAATCTTGTTATTTTCCTTTCTATGTATTCCGCAAATTTGAAACCTTGATTGTGATACCTATTTATTTTCTCAAACGTGCTAACGTAGTTCTACAATGGCTTTCAGGGATCAATATTGTCTCTCCCTGAGCATCCCTTGCATGATGTTCCTATTAAATTATTTTGCAAGAAAGTGGTACGAGATGGTGATATCATTTCTGGCTACCAAAAGGATTTTGAGTTACTATGGGAGAAAGTTCTCTTTGCAAATGAATCTGCTAAATCACAACCCATCAGCATTGAAAAGTATCAACAAAATTTTCGTCTAATGCTGGAAGATGTTTTGGATAACCATTCTCATCTTTTCACGAATGAAGAAAAATGTTTTATAGGTAGTATGTTACTTGTAGTATTGCATGTTCATATTTTTTCAACAATGGTCTGAAAGTCATTTTCTTCTCATGATATATATATGTTTTCTTGCAGGATCTTTTTCTTCATTATCTGATGATGCACAAAGGCTTCTTGTTCGATTATATACTCGAAAAGGTCTTTTATATAACAGCCTTGATTTTACAGATCATGAACGTAGAACAAAATATATTTGTTGGGGTCCTATAATATAAGAGGAAGTTCGAATAGTTTTGTTAAATTTCAGGAATTATTTAAAAGTATATTAACTCTTTAGCATGCAGGCTCATTTATATATGATTACAAATAGATTAAATCCCAAAATAATCTAGAAATTATTTGTGTGTGGCTAGTTTAGTTCCAGAGTATTGTATTTCTCTCATTGGTTCCCCGAATATACAAAATTGATCGAAAATGGCACCTCATGTGGAATTTTTGATACAAATTGATCCCAATTTAGTCCCTCTGCTATACAAAATTGATTTCAATTTACTGCCCAAGGGATCATCATTTTGGATTAATATTATATACTCGATTGACTAAATCAAAAAATGTGATACTTTTGGATTAAATTGGTCACATATGGACTATTTTGGAGTTTAACCTGATTATAAATTTTTATAGTATCTCTCCTACGAGGGAGCTTTTCAAATTAGGGCACAATATAATGAGAACAGTCGTGGTATTGAATGCTGAGAAGTTTCCTTGACTGATAACTTAATCATTTCATATTTGTTACCCAATAGAGCTTGTGATGATTCCCCTGCACATCATAATATCTGTATGTGGTGTTATTACCGGTTGATTTTTTTTTTTTTAACGTTTACTTATAATGCTTGTGATTGGTGTTCATATCACAAATTCTTTCTAAAATTATTTATTGGCTTGTTATTATTTTCAAATATCTTTACTTTTTTTAGGGGAAACCCATCGAAGGAGCCTACGCGTTGATTAAAATTAAAATTACAAATTCCTTAAAAAGGACCGCGAGCTACTGTTCATAAGAGCTACAAAAAATTCAAAATAAAACATACAAGCTCAAGATCCCTACTAACAAAAAATACAGTGAAACTTAAGTACATTTTAGGTTGGCAAGAAGCTGTCACCCCAAAATTGGGAAAGTTCATTTGATGATCTTGAAGCAACAACTCTCCACCCAAAAAATCCAAATGCCAAAAAAATTCATCAGAAAACTCCAGATCCTCTTCATTATATAACCTAAATGAAGCCAGAAGTCTGAGGAAAAGCCTTGCAACACATTAGAAAAGGCACCACTAACCTCCAAAAACACACTGCAAAAGGGCTGCAATAATAGGATAACCATAATGCAAAAATAGTCAATATGAACCATAACACAAATAGTATATAAATAAGTAATGGCGGTTTCCATCCCAATAATCTCCTTTCTTCTGGATAGCCATGAGGCCAAAGAAGGAAGAGAGAGTACTGGGATCATAGCAAAACCAGTAGGAAGGGTGGTCCAAAGACATGAATTCTCTGCAACTACCAGTTAAGGAAGAAAAACCATTAGACTATAGGACTGAAAAGAAAAACAGATCTTTGGAACCACCTCCAACAGACCCATATAAAGGCACCAAAAGCAGCTATTATATAACCACAATAACTGCCCATTAAAAGTAGAGGTCGGTTAATACAGACAAGGGTCATAGCTAACACCACAGTGCACAAACTCCCAATAATGCTGAACAGGCCAGACCCCCCAAAAAACCATCAGCTCAAACATATAGAGCATAACCGGGCCCTTCCAACAAATATCCACGTTCAAGACACGATGCAAGGAAGCAGCAAAGCCAATAGTGCAAACAGTAAGATCAACAACACATATAACACTAATCAAAGATAATTGAAACCTTCTAAAATTCTGCCAACAGGACCCAACCAATAAACACGACCAGAGAACCAACACTGAATAAGATAATAATGTTCCAGCTGATGAAACCAGGATTTAATTTATAAGAGATCAAAAACTGGATAGTAACATAGCATTAACAACCACCAAAGTTAATAACGATCCTTAGGAAAAAAACCATCAATTTAACCCAAATATGATCACTGTGCCGAGAACTGCAACTGACATGGAAAAAAGCAGATGAATGAAAAAACCAGATGCTAAAACTAGGATCCATCACCAAGAACAAACAAACACTCAGTAATCAGCAGTTGATAAGATGAAAAGGGAATGATTATCCAACTCAGGTGTGTAGTATCATCAGAATCATGAGGTCAAATCTAACCGCCACTCCAATCTGATCCAAGTCCCACCCATAAGGGGAAAAACACCCGACCAAATATTTAAACATAAATTAAAATAATAGCTACAACACCATAGGAAGAGCGGACAATCCGCTCCCATCAAAATCAGTAATCCCCACAATTTTAGCCAGACCCAGAATTCAAAATCAGACCCAAAAGCCTCATGAATAACTCCTTAATAGCCCAAAACAACCAAAACTTAAGCCAATAAGGAGAATGACAAACCAAAATTATATCCAGAAACACCCCATGGAAACCACTCCTCCCTATTGAGACAGAACAAGATGAGCAGCAGTTGACAATATGACCATACTTAAAAACGTTCCAATCATTGCTAGAGGGATTCACAGTAACACAATATGGTAAAAAACCAGTGGAAGGCAGCAAAATTATATTTTAAATTCCCAAGAAATCAATACCAGTAAAAGGATAAAACCAAAACCAGGCCAAGGGAAAGGTGACGGTAAAACAACTATAAATTCCTAACATAAGGGAAGCCCAATTTATCTAATCTGATGAGGCCCTTTAAGACAGGCGGCAATTGAGATAAGACAATTCACTAATGCATTGCATATTACAATCAAAATTGGCTAACCAATTAGCACAATCATTCCCTTCTCTATACACATGAGAAATATTGACATTTAGCAGACTCATAAAATATCTATACTTGAACACGTGTTTTTGTTCAGCCAAATAATCACTTTAGATTGCTATATTCAATAGGCTAGATTTAGGTTAATATTATTCAATTCTCTTATTACTAGCATGCCAATACATTAATGGGAAACATAAGGCCTAGGATAAATTTTCAGATTGCCTAAATTTTTACTTGGAGTATATTGATTAACTTGAAAACAATCTCTTTGCAATTTTCAGATATCGGTGTGAGCTTAATGCATCATGTACTCAAGATATTCTAGTGTCACAATTTAACCAACATGGATATCCAAATTACCTAAACAAAGTATAGTTTGACTAGGCAAATGCATTGGCCTTGCCTGATTCATGTAAGTTAATAAATAAATGACAGGTAAGAGACAAATGAGCTTGCTTGTGAAGGTGAAGCATTCAAGTGTTAGTACTAGATCTTTGGTTGGAGTTTGATAGCTAATGTACAGTTCAACGTGACTAGTTTTTTGTAAGTCCAAAGCACAAATACAGTTACATGGGGCGTGAGCTTTTCAAAAGATGGATAAGGGAGAGAACAAAGATCGGAAAAGATAGAACTATGGTAAAACCAGAAGGGATAGATATTGAAATGTTTATATTAGAGAACCAGCTTGTAGTAGTATGACTTGAAGATAATGCAATGTAAGATAAACTTGGATTTGGGCTTAGCAATGGAGGGCAAAAATGGAACGTAAAGCAATTCATAGAATTAATGTGAACTAATAGGAGGAAAACGAAAGTTCATAAACTAGAAGTTGTGCCAAAAGTTTGCATAAACCAGTGTTAATGAATTGAGGAAGATTCATAAAGCCACCTTAAATTGCTTGGATCTGCCTTATGAGGTTGGCCAAATAGGTCTAGGACATGTACTTAGCAGTCATGAGAATTTAAATGAAAAATTGGATGGCTGGTGAGCATTCATCTTTATTGTCTGAGAAAAAGAATAGAATGACTAAAAAAAATCACATTTTAAATGGAGCACTGACTAATTTGAATAAACAAGAAATTTCTATCACTATGGAAGCATAATGAATTCATCATATACGAAGAAAAAAATATCAAGAAAGAGTGCTAGGGGCAAGCTGAGTTAGAAGTGGATTCTTTTTGTCCATAATATGTAAAAATGTGTTTTCCTTGTGCTTAAAGAGGGTTGATGAAGTACCCAATTGTGTTCGTGTTTTTTCCTCAAAAATATCTTATAGGTCATTTGGTTGTTTGCGTGACATTGCCCTGCTTTTTGTAGTGATTTAAAACCCTTATTTGACATGGATATGGTAGCTATCTTGAAGTATTTTCAGTTTATGGTTCACTTAATGTTTTCTTCATGTATTTTCTTACTATTATAGTACAGTGAAGTTTAAATACTTTCTTTGAATGCGTTTAAGAGAAAATAATTGAAGCTCTTTTTTTGTATTTAGCATAATGTTATTTAAGTAACATATATATATATATATATATACTAGATTAAGCGATATATATATATATATATATGATGAGGACATCCGACTGCGAAGAGTTTACTAGAGACGGGATCGACGATCACGATTACATAGCATTATTTTTGAGTTATTTATTGTTGTTTATTTTCTGATTTTACCCTCACTTGAGGGAATAGGTGTTTGTGACCCCAAGGGGCACTATTGTCTTTTGTTATGTTATTGTATTTGGGGATTATTTATAGCCTCCTCCTATGCTTATGATGCTTAATAAATAATATTACAAGAAATTTTTGCATTTGTGTGTTTTGGGAGAGCTTGAGAGTTCTTGGAGAGATTGAAGACCCTAGGTGAGGGCAACGGATCACCCACCAGCCGTAGGAAGCGTCCGGGCTCCTGGTTATCTTTCTTTCCCTAAACTCCCCTCCTTCCTCAACCACCGGCCAAGGCCCCATTAACCGCCGATTTTCACCCCCCTCCAACCTCATAGCTGCTGGCCTCCCTATCCTTCCCCTCCCTCCAGGCCGCCGATCAATACCCGCTTAAACCCGCCGGCCAAATTCCCTAACTGCCGGCCAAATCCCCCCACGCCAAACCATAACCGCCGGCCACTCTCCTCCTAATTCTACTACCTTCCTAAAATATCTCTTATTAATTTGGGAATATTTTGAATTCAAACTCAAATAAATTTGAAATTTAAATTCTTTCCTAAATGATCTAAATTATTTTTAGAAAGCCCCTTAATCATTGCAAATCCTAAATTAAGTTGGATTTGATTCCAAATCAACATTCAATGATTGTGGACACCTTTCCTTTGTTTTCTCCCCCTTCCTTTGGTCGGCCCCTCTCCCTCTCTCTCACCTAATTAATAGGCCCATTAATGCTCCCCTAATTAAGCTTTCAATTCCACCAATTACTCCCACCTCTATGGCTAAATTAATTTCAGCATTTTGAATTTGTTTCCCTCCTAATTCAAATTCAAAAACCTGAGATTGAATTCCTTGCTACATCCCCTCCAAATCGGACCTTATTTCTCTACGTTTTTCCCTCCCAAAGTGAGATCCCTCCACCTAAGTTTGCTGTCCAGAAATTCCAGCAACCACACCCTGCTGTCCCACCTCTCTAACCTTCGAAATTGCTGTCCAAAGAAGACCAAACTGCTGTCCAGAGATTTCAGCAGGGTTCCCTTTGCTGTCTGTTAACGAATATTTTCAAATCGACTCGACCTCGATCGAGCCCGGCAAAGCTCGATCGCGCTCGATCAATTCAATTGATCATCGTCGTAGTGAAATTAATCCGAATTAAGCCTCAATTTAATTAAATTAAATCAATTTAATTTAATTTAAATCAAATCAATCCAATTCAAATCCAATCGAGCCTCGTCGAGCCAATTTCGACGCAATTCGGCGCCGATTTGAGTTCAATTTCATGAAATTAAATTGATTGAACACAAGCGGACCCAAACCGACCCAAATCGGTTCGGGTCGAGTCCAATTCGGACTCAATCTCAAACCTAATTTATCAATTGGGGCTAAATCAAAATTTCAAATCAAATTCTCAAATCAAGGGTTCAGATTTCATGTGAAATCCCCCCAAAATTCCATCGTTTCTCACATCAAGGGAGCCTGATTGGCCATTTCGGTCGGTGGCTCTGCTAGGCGTGCTCCTCTAAGAGCACGAGAGGGAGTAAGGGGGGAGCATTCGACTCCCCTTGTGTTGTCCGTCCCGACCCCGAGCGAGAGGAAGAGGGGGAGCACGGCAGAGAGCCTTTTTGCTCTCTGATTCTGCGTCCGTCCCAGCCAAAGTGGAAGGGGAAGGGGGAGCATTCGGCTCCCCCGTTTGTTCCGTCCCAGACAGAGCATGGGAGGGAGAGGGGGAGCGATCGGCTCCCCCAATTTTTTTGTTCCTGCTGTTCGTCCGTCCCAGGCGAAGCAAAGGAAGGAGAGGGAGAGCCGTTCAGCTCTCCCGTTTCCGTCTGTCCGTCTCACATCAGGCGGAAGGAAGAGGACGACCAAGGCCTCTTGCGTGCGTCCCAGCCAAAAGGAAGACCGGCCAACTGCTGTCTCCCCCCCTTCTTTGGACTGAAGGGAGTTCTCTCTTGCTACTATCACCTTGTTTTCTTCAATTGGAGAGCAAAAATCCATTCTTGCTGCTTTTGTTGAGCTTCTCTTCCAAAACCTAGGGCAAAGGCATGCTGAAATCAGCCTTTGCTGCAGCTAAGAAGTGGTAGGAAGCTTCCCCTTCCTTCCAAACCAACTCCGGCGACCATTTGACGAAGAAATCAGCCTCCGGATGCCTCCAAACGGCAGAAACTGCTGTCCGGTGCAGTTTTGACAGCTAATCCTCTCTCCGGAAAAGTTTGGACAGCGGCGGTGACGTCCGGAGAGGCTTGGACAGCAATCACGCAGCCTCCGAAGGCTTCAAAACAGTGAAAACTGCTGTTCCGAAGCTTTGGACAGCAAACGACGACCTTGGGAAGCTCTCAAACAGTGAAATTCTCTGTTTGGAACGTTGGAACAGCGGTCTTCCTCCTTGGGAAGGCCTTGGACAGCAGTTTGGAGCTTTCAAAGGACTTGGACAGCAAGCCGGAACTTGGATAGGAGCGCTAGGACAACCCGGGTGAGGTAAAATCCTAAAACTTAGTGAAACCTAGGGTCCCCCAAGGCCATTGATGTGTGGATGACGTCCCCAAGCCATAGGTCCCTTAGAAACTTCATTTGCTTGCTTCCCCAAAACCTATGTGTGCTGCCCTCTCCGCAAAACAGCGGAAATCCGGTGATTTTCGTTTGTTTGCTCTCTTGTGAGAGTCAAAGAGGCATGCCAACGCGTGTAGGGGTATTGGATTGATATCCAACACCTCTCAAATGCATGTAATAGCATTCATATTGTGTTCAAACCGTCGCCTATAACAAACCTAGGCTTCGCCGTCATAGCACCCAAATTTGGAAACTATGCATTTGGCCAAATCAATTGCATGTTGCTTAGAATTTAGATTATGCCAAAATTGATCTAAATAAATAGTGTAGGTCTCTTTCTCTAAGGATTGCAAACTTTTAAAATTATTAGGAGATTGCTATGCATGTTTATTTAATTTGTAGGAAAAATTTGGGGTAGATATGGGTTTCCAAAGACCCATAAGCCACCCCTTGTGTGCTCTTGAATTACTTAAATATGGCTTGCATCTCTTAATTCTCATGGATAAGAATGATAACGAATGATCCTTTAGTATGTAAACTATCCGAATTTGTGTCATGACAAAATTGATACAAACTTTGGAGACTTTGCATGTTGGAATGGATAGTCTCTACAAGTTAGTGAATGTGAATGTGTTTGGTTGGAAACAATATCACTAACAACCGATCTTTGTGGGGTTTCTTATAGATCCTCAAAGGTCTATGTTGAAGACCCCACAATGTCTATAACCAACCAAATTCATGTTTGATCTTCTTAAATTTAGAGCACACAAGTGGTAATCATCGTTGGTTTACATCCACCACTTTTGGGATTTGGAAATTAACCAAATGGGCTTACTTAACCTTGAAGTGGGCTTGAGATGTGATATGGGCCCTCAAAGGCCCATAAGCCTTCATGCTCAAGTTTACCTAACTCCATTTGTGTGAGTTTTCCAAATCCAATCATTGAATGAAATGATCAAAATCCTTAGAGATTGGAACCTCACATCATTGTTTTAATAAATCAAATCCTATCAAAACGGATCTTTAGGACCAAATCCTAAGTCATTTCTTCACTTGTTGATAACACAAAAGTAGCAAGTGAACCTCTCCAATTCAAATCTCCTAATCATGTCAAAGTTGATTTAAGAATCCTTTCAAAGCCCTAAGGTGCATCCTTCCCCTCTTCAAATGAGCCCAAAACATTTGAGGAAGGTGGGAAGCTCTCTTTCTATGACCCAAAAGTTATAGGAGGATCTTCTGATTCTCCTAACCTAAATTAGGAGAGTGTGCATCATTCCCTGAATGTCAAATGTTCAAGGAACTTTCAAGAGTTTGCAACTTCCAAGTTGCATCTCATTCTTCTCCATCCCTCCAACCCAAATTGGGGGAATGAGTCCCTCTTCTTTGGACACCGAACGTTCAAAGGAACTCCTCCAACTTGCGACCTTTAGGTTGCACGTTGGACCACCTCTTTTCCTACAAGCCTGAATTGTAGTTTACCCTTAAATTCCTCTTCATTTGCCTAGCTTTAAATTAGGCAAATAAATTTGTCTCTTTGAACATCAAATGTTCAAGGAACATTCATGGATTTGCAACCCAAAAGTTGCATAGTCCTTCCTTCACTCCTACAACCCAAAAGTTGTAGGGAATCCCACCATCATCCTAAACCTAAATTAGGAGAATGCACGCCCCTTTTTAGACAATAATATCCAAAGAACTTTCATTAATTTGCAATCTCTAAAATTGCATTTCTCCATTCTTTCCTACAAGTCAAAATTGTAGAGAAGTCCTTCCTTTCTACAACTCAAAAGGTTGTATGAAAATCTCATCCATTCAACCCATGTTGAGTGAATTAGATACATGAAAGTCACTTATTTGTTGAATCAAAATCAACAAGTAATTCAATCCAAAATCATTTGTTTGTTGAACCAAATTTAACAAATAATTCCATATCAAGCAAATGAGAAACTCCTAGCTTTCTTCCATTCTCCTAACGCCAAATTAGTATGAATGATGTTCCTCTTTTGGACTATTCAAGAATCATAAGAATCCTTGATTGTGTAGGCCAAAAACTACAGCATCGGTCCCTTTATTATTGCTTAATCCGATATCTTAGCAATTAATGCCCATCATTGATACACTAAAAGTTCAATGATAATCCTCTTGATTTGTACCCCAAAGTTACAAATCTTTTCTCACTTATTGAAGCCAAACTCAATAAGTGATTCAACTTTATTTGCTTAATCAAATTAAGCAAATGAAACCCACTTCTTGAATACAATAAATCAAGGAGGGCGTCTTTTTGATTTGTATCTTCAAAGCTACTAATTCTTCATTCTACTTTTAATAGGTTCCAAAAGCCTTATGAAGATGTAATAGTCGATTAGCCAAGCTATATGGTTATCTCTCTCTTCAACTCCAAAGTCGTTGGAGATTTCTCTTCTCTTTAGCTCCAAAAGCTGAGAGAGATTCCCTACATTTAGCCCAAAAATTAAATGTTGGATCTCTATCTTCTCCTCTTACGGTCCAAAGGCTAAGGAGATTCTCCAACATGTAACCCCCAAAAGTTACATGTTGGACACCTTTCTTAGACTCAAAATCTAAGTAATTTCCTCCACTCACCTATGCCAAATTGAATGATTTTCCTATGAACATTTAAATGCTATAATCTATAGATGTCTTAGGAAACACTAATCTGTTGAAGTTCATCCTTACCCCAATTGGTATAAATTTCACAAGTCCTAAGTGAAAACCCCTTAGGCATGTCTATCTTACCTCTTTAGATAGAGCACTTCTCTTACCCAAACATTAAGAGAACTCTAAAACATCAAAAATTACTTAGGTCCCTTTTTGATATAATGATCAATCATTCCCCAAAAGGTGGATGCCTACATCTTGTATCTTAGGATTCATAAGTAAAGGCTTGTCCAAAAGCAAGCAGTGATTACTTTATGGGTTATTCATAACCCTCTTAATATGAAATATCTAAAATCAAATAAATTCTTAAGTCACAAACAACTTAAAGTGAAATCACCCTGGATAAGTATTAAATATTTTCATTCCAAATAAAAATCAAAGTCCCTTAGTGTGACATGCTTACAAGCTCACACACTTAGGTGCTATACAGCCCACTGCATGCTAGGATTAAGGGATTTATCTTTTTCTCGCATTGTGTGTTTGATTGATTTGGTGTGATTGCCTCTGATTGTCTGTGTGGTGGGACTTGCCCTTAAGTGGATAGTGTAGAAATATACATATCTTCTTGCAGGTGGCCATATCTAAAATGGGGGGCGCTCATAAATGATAAAATGCTTGCATGACAGGTACTATTAAAACCCCCCAAAAGATGTGGCAATAGGGTAGCATGTGTGTTTGGACACTCTAAGTTCTAAACAAAATTCTTAATATGTGATGCTTATTATATAACTGCTTCTAATCACTGCAGGTTTGAGTCTCTTTTCTTTTCAAACATGTATTTGATAGAATTGTAATTGTATCAAACTTGCGGGGGTTTGGAGCAAAAAGAATGAAGTGGACTAGAAGGATGTACCTGTCAAAGGTGAAGCCCAAATGTCCATCAAAAGTCAAGAGCCTGAGACCCCACAAGTAGAGTCTGTAATTTTGACTGGGATTGTTATAATGGCAGTGCATACTCAGGCTTATCAATCTGGTTGTAATAATGTGGGAATCTCTTTACATTTCTTGCATTTGATATAAATAAAGAGCGATGCTTTGATTGTTTACTTGTTTGTGCAATAGAAGCATCTTTTTCCTAGTTTTTTCTTTGCTTTTGCTTGGGAGTGGCTTGGAGCTTTTTGATGCGGTAGACTCTTAGGACAAAATAAAAATTTTCTATCACATTAAAAATGTAATCAATCTAAAAATTGATTTAGGCTCGCACGATTTTCTAACAAGTAAGAATCTTGCATGACTCCCTTTTAAGGAGGCTAGTTTTCTTAAAAAATTAAAAACATATGGCATAATTGCAATGTGTTTGATATAGAAGGCGCCATTTAAGGACTGAGATAAAAAATCGTATTTCGCTTTATGAGTCAGCATTTGCATACCCACATGCTAAGGCATCTTGGCCTCAAAGCCAAGTTGTAAGACCTATCTTCTAAATAAAAACATAACCCTACCACTCTACATTTACATTGAGACTAGACAACATGGTTTTAAAAGCGATTAGGGGGAGTTTAGCTGGTAGTCCCTTCCAGGCGGGACAATAAATCCAGAAGTCGGGCGGGCTATGCCTCTTGTGAGGTTTAGTTTGTAAGTCCTTCTTTGCACTCGTTAGATCTAGGTTCGAGGCACTACCTCTCGGTAGTCCTCACCTTAGTCTTAGGGTCCGAGGCATGGGTTGATTCCAAATCACCCTATAAGCCCTCAACTTTCGGGCAATTCCTCCAACAAGTGTTGTTGGGATGTAAGCCCCAATCTTCTAATATATCAACTCAAACTAAATTTAGATTCAAAAATGTAAAGCCCAACATAGGATAGTTCGAGTACCTCTGAGTTTTCCTAAGAATCAAGTGTTCCTACTTCACCTTTTTTGGTTTTCATTCCAAAATCTAACTCCTAAGTTGATCAATCCCTTGAAACTCCTAAAGGCCGAAAACCCTTTTGTTAAGACTTTCATGGATTTCAAAACAAAACAAACTTTAGCCAACATTTAAATGACTTCCAAAAGAAAATAAGAAAACAAAACCACTAGTTTAATCAAAAGTTTTCCCAAATCAAACTTGGTATGTAATTAACCATAAGGGCTTGCCCCTATGAGATGTCTGTACCCCAGAAATAAATAAACCCCAATCAACCAAACATTGAGTGGGGGAATCTCTGTTAATAATCGTAAACTTTGTTAATGAGTCCATAAGGAAATGATATTTTTATCCTCCGGGGTAATATATCATATTCTTATGCCGTACTCGATTATAAAATATGCAATTTTGAGGATACAAAAATTCTCCAACAATGTCCGGCTGTCCGGCTGTCCGGAAGGTCACCGTTCGCTGTCCCGAGGTTCCAGAATATGTTTAAGTTGCTGTCCCGATTTTCCTGCACGTGTTAGTGTGTTTCCTCGCTATCCAAGACCTCTTAGCACGCTCTCCAGAGCTTCCAACACGAGGCCTCTTGCTATCCTGAAATTTCAGCAACATTCTTTTGGACGTTTGCTGCCCCAAGGTTGTTGCTTGCTGTGCCGAAGTTCCAAGTACTCTTGATGAAGGTAAACTCTTCTCCTAATCATATTCCTTCTGAAGTTTCCTCTCAATTGTGGCATCACTAAAGTTGTGCAAGTTATCTTCGCGTAGCCTATATCAAGAGTATGAATAGTGCCTAATCTTATTGTTAATTTAGGGATTTCTATTGAACTTGCCCATGCTATGCTAATCTTGATTATAATTCATTATTCATGACCCTAAACTCTTACATGTAGTTTGCCTAAGCTTTAATCATCTTTCTAATGTTTTAATCTTTGTTTAAATCCCTAGAAGTAAACATAATTATTATTGCTTTAATTCATAAGGCGTGTATTTTCAACATTACATATTTACTCAAGCATTTTGTTCTACATCAATATAACAATGTTATCTTTGAAATGTAGGGTGTTTGATTCAATGCCATCTTACTTATGATTGTAATATTAGAACAATTAATGATAATTGAGACCTATTCTCATATTTTTTTGCCATCAAGGTTGACGTAATCTAATTAGTATCTTATTTGGCCATTATTTTGATTATTTTGATCTTGTCTATTAATGTTATTTAGACTATCTCAATATTAGAGGTAGCATCATACCAAAAACTTTATATTTTATAGTTAAGATGACATAACATAATGTTAAAAAAAGCCAAAAGAGCCCTTTACTCAACCTTTTGTTTGCAATGTGTGCCTGGTCCTCACACTTGTTTGATCTTCAATTTATTGTTCTATTTATTAGTTTCTAAAAGATTGTATGCTTCTAACACCATGTAACCACTTCATCTATTTTGTTGCAGGACCATGGTTTCGATTATCTAATATTTCCTACAAGGAGATTTCAGATTTAAATGCAGCAATACATGAATTGCAGAGTAACACTTTACTCCTTTTTGAGATTTGATGCCTATTAATATTGGTTGCATGTTCTGTTCCATTTAATGTAGAGTTTTTGTCTACAGTGACTAGTTACCTCTTTTCTCTTGGTTCTGGGGTCCAGTCATTTAAATACAATATGAAAGAGGTTCTGGATGTGTTGACAGTTTCTGAACTGCAACAAATTTCACATCAATGGCTATCCAAGGTTTATACTAGACTTTAAGTTCAATTTGATTCTACAGACCCTACACCTTTAGCTGCTGTTTTTTGCTTCTGTTGATTTTCAGTGCTCATTTTTTGGCTAGAATTTGAAAAATCTGTTTTAAAAATGGTGAGTTTATTGAAATCCATCAGTCGGAGGGGTGTATTTAGAAATTCATATGGATTTTAAACTCTACAAACACCTTTAAATTCTTCAAAAAATGAGGATTTTATTTTCATACACATAATAAGTGAAAACGTAATCAACATTTTTTAAATCATGTTTTTCATCAAACAACTGAATGGCTCGTCAGATTATTTGCATTCAATGCTCTTCCAAGGATGCAGGAAGTGTTTATACTCATCTTGTCTTGTACACCAATTGAGTGTTCGAAAGAGAATCTTTTACGGGTTTTCTTATAGGTTCACTTGTTTTATTTTACATTCAATGAGAAATTCATTGGCATTTGCGTGGAATTCATCATTTATCCGTTTTAAAATTGTTGTTTTCCACGTCTCTTTAGGAGGGTATGCTAAAATAAACACATATATTGTTTGATTCAGGATCTTGTGCGAACACTGTCGTTGCCAGGTCCCAAGTCCTGGATGAAAAAAATGGAGGGTTGCGTTAAGTAGTCGACAACCAGCGTAAAATCTGCCAAATAATCATGACATGAATCATTTAATATATTGTGTTATTGCCAGAGCGTTTCCTGGAAGCAACAAGTTGTATGACCTGAATGCAATGATCAGTGTACAAGGGCCGATACACCAATGTTAAATAGGCAATGTTTCTCACATCATGGATGCATGTGAGCAACGAAGTTAGTCCATAAAATTAAAATTAAGATAGAAACTTGGAATATATATTCTCTTACAAGCAAATAAATGGAATTCATAGATTTTATGATTCTTAGGAAGATAAATATTCTATATATTTATGAAATTAAATGGGTTTGAGAGAAGACTAAGGAGAATGATAGTTTAGGATTTAAACTATGATATTCTTGGAGTTATTCTAGAAATGGTATATGTGTGATTATAGATAATATTTTGAAGGATAATGTTGTAAATATCGATTGAATTAGAGATATAATTATAGTTTTAAAGATTGTTGTTGATATTAAGATTATTAAAAGGTTTGATAGAGAAGTATAGAGAGAATAATGAGGATCTACCTATGAGATTTATTGATTTAGACAAAGCATATGATATTGTTCCAAGAGAAGTGCTATGGAGAGTTCTAGAAAAGAAAGGGTTCAATAATGCTTATATTTAAGTCATTAAGGATATGTATGCAGGAGCTGTTACTTATGTCCAAACACAAGGTGGTTTGGCCAATTATTTTCCTATTTCAGTTGGACTACATCAAGGATCAGCCTTAAGCCCATATATTTTTACTTTAGTCATGAATGGTTTTACTAAACATTTGCAAGAGGTTGTACCCTAGTGTATGCTTTTTGCTGATGATATTATTCTTATTGATAAGACTATAGAGGGAGTTGATGGTAAACTTGAATTATGGAGGTCAACCATAGAGTCTAAAGGCTTTCGTTTGAGTAGATCTAAAGCTGAATATATGGAGTGTAATTTTACTAATAATAGATCTATTGAGGGGATTGTGACTTTGGGAGATCAAATCATTAATAAGAGTGCATGTTTTAGATATCTTGGTTTATTATTCAGAGTGATAGTGAAATACATGGTGCTCTCTAAGTAAGCACCCAACCATCGATTAAAAAGGCGGAAGAGGCGTACGCACTAAGGCGTGACTTAAGGCGAGGCGAAGCATTTGCGCGTTGAGGCATACGCCTAGTTGGATTCGGCGGAGCGTGCGCTTATTTCGCATGGGGCGTAGGCTTCGGTTCGTAACGCCTCGAAGCGAAACAACGCACCGCTTTGATTTGTAAGTATATTGACCGAGCGGTGAGAGTCGTATAAGAGTCGAGTATTAGGGTAACATACCTGCTTCTGCTTCGGGTGAGAACTGAAAGGCGAACTCCGCAAACAATTCGGTCGTGTTCGAACATAGCTGGAGGCAATCGAAGGTAACGATTTATTTCTTCTTCTTCTATTGCTTCCCGTAATCTTCCCGTCATTTGCTTCATGTCTCGCTTCTTCTTCTCCAGCTTCTTGTAATCGAAGGTTCTTTTTTCACAGCTAGGTAACGATCTTTCTTCCCGTTATTTGCTTCATGTCTCGCTTCATCAGATTGTACATGCTCGGTACCGCTCAGTACATGCTCGGTACTGAACAAGTACATGCTCGGTACTTAGCGGTACATGCTCGATACCGAGCAAGTACTTGCTCAGTACCGAGCAAGTACATGCTCGGTACTTAGCGGTACACGCTCGGTACCGAGCAAGTACATGCTCGGTACACGCTTGGTACCGAGCGATACATGCTCGGTACACGCTCGGTACTGATCGGTACATGCTCGGTATGCTCGGTATTGAGCATATACAACAAGCAGAATTTCAAAAATACTCTTATAATATAATTTTGTTCTGGGGGCAGTGCCCCCGGAAACCCCTGCAGGGGCGCTGCCCCTTGACCCCGCAACCTGACCGGGCAGGTCGAACCCTGCCAGGGTGCTGCGCCCCATTGGACCCCCGGCAGACTGGTATATTTTTGTATTCATGTTGTTTTATTATTGGTATTTGGTAGTACAAATAATTGTTAAAATATATCCTATTGTTAGCATGACTGGTGGCACAAGAAAGAAAGATCCTGCATGGAAATATGGAACTCAAGGCGAAGGTGCAAAGAAGGGATATGTTTACATGAAATGTAATTTCTGTGAGAAACGCATAACTGGTG